GAAAGGTGAATAGCTCTATCCACCAGATAATAATAATGGATATGAACTCATACTTTTGTTCATCATTCATAAAACCGACCTGAGCTCTATAAACAGAACGGCTGGCCGCAACTAAGTCAACAAACAACATGATGAAAGTATTTGCCTTTGTTGCCAGTACGCTCCTAATGTTCAGTGATATTTGTACCTTTGTTGAGTCGACGCCATCGCAAAAGGCTGAACCTAATTAAAGTGATATCAATCACCATAAAGTAAAGTAATGTTTTCTTACCATAAAGAACATTGACATCTTTGATTTCACCAATCCCAAACTTCTTTATTTCATTTGAGCTTTCGGATTCTTTCAGCTTGAAGTAAAGTGATCCCCAATCCGTATGCATACTGTACGTTATTCCAGCAAATATTTTGTATCTGTCCTGGTTGCTAGGACTCTCAGGAAACTTCTTTCGGTCAGGGTTCATGCCTTGGAAAGACAACGTATTCACCCCACTGCCCAATTCAGCCTGGAAACCTCCCTTTGTCCACCTATTACAAGTGACTCCAGTGACCTGAAGAAGATCATCGCCAGCACCTGTATACACTCGTATGTTACTTGCAGATTCCATGAGGCCTGACAGTTCTCCAATTATAACATTGTCTGGGGCTGCTTCGTCATTTTCAAGTCGTGTGTCWACGTGAATTCCTCGGATCCAGAACTGTTCAGCAACCATGGCAGTCGTGGCGAAAACAGTCACTCCTTTTCCGTCGGGTTTTACTACTTTTCCATAAAAGTCATAGCCAAGWGGCACTGTACCTTCAGGACTCCATAACAAATTAGCGTACTTTGACTTGTCAAAAATCCTCTTCTTGCCCATTGCGAGGTAGCCATCTTCATCAGCWGGAGTACTTTTGATGTTAAAAGCGACGTTGGAATCGCTGTCAGCACCCCTGATGGTTTTGTAAGCATCCGTGCGCATCGCCATTATCAGATTTCCTTGGTTMACTTGRTAGACTGTGTCAAAGCCAACATTACGATTGAATTTGGATGCCATTGCCTGTGTCAAGTTAACATCATTTTCAAGATACTGYAGAGAACCTTCTCTTAGTGCCTGGATGGTCTCAAGATGTTCCTTAATTGTGCCCGCCGGATTAGATGAATTAATCAAATCAATGATGATAGATGCAAGACCAAGTACACACCCGATGAGTGCACCRACAGGACCAGCAAATGCAGCCAGTGTACTTCCAGCCGTGGCTAATGCYCCYGCMACGAATGACACCACTCCTACCGCCCCACTTGCCACTCCTAAYGATGCACTAGCAATGTTCAATGCTCTAACGTCTGGCGGAGAGTCCTCATCCCATATCGCATTATACAACTGCCAGCCACAAAAAGCCACGTTGGCAACGTCAAAAAGCGGTCCACTCAGAGTATCCAGCCAGGTCGCAGCTTTGGCCCACTTCTTTGCATTGTTGAGACTTTTCACAAGATCGTCGTATCCCTGGGTATTTTTCATGAATGCAGTAACTTCAGTATCGAAATAATTCCCAATTTGTTTCCTGAAGGAGTTTGCRCTGTCTATGATGTCATCCGCATCATCTGCACTTCCAGCGATCGTACGTTCTGCCAAGGCCTTGTTGTAATTTGTCAATCCTTTGACTGTCTCAGGGAATTGTCCTTTGTGTTTCACTAGTTGATGTATAAGTTCAGAAGCGATTGGTTGGACCGTTGCTTGTGTAGTGTCAAAGACGGTCAGGGTTGCGATGGCGATATTCAGTGTCTCCATGGCTTCTTCTTTCTTTCCTTGTTCCAGTTGATTTATCGACGCGATTATCCCAGATCGCCACCAGATACCAGTGCCGCCGACGTAAACTGACGATGCAGTGGCGGCTGTGTTYAACACTCCACTTGCATCTTTATTTCGCTTCAGGAAGTTCGACCCCATCCTCGACAGACCTCTCGACAAAGAAATTCTACGGCTATCTGCYTCATACACCAACATGAGGGAAAAGACCCAGAAGAAAACTAGAAATCTCAACATTGTTGGATTGACCTAAAATACAATTGAAAAAATGAATGGATTTATACGTGAAAGTTAAGTCAAATTTGTTTTAAACCTCTGTCATATTATATGAATTGCCATGGGGTCGAAACGTTCTAATAAAACAGAGATATAAACCTACAAGTTGGTGTTCTGTTTTAAGCAAATATATTTATATAAGTGGAACAATGTACAGAAAAGCACCAATTTACAATTAAAAAGAGGCTTTGTTGTGGTCCTTTCTGTAAAAGAGAAATCTGGTAAGTGAAGACAGACTCAAAAACCCAACCTGGATAGATGGATGAAGTACGTATCATCTCCTATGGTCCATTGCTGGACGGAGGGTATATATGAAGCATATGATGTTATAAGATGAAATTCTCACCGTATTTTATGCAACCCCTAGATAAAGTCTTAATGGCAATTTTTGCCTTTCTGATACCGACACATAACAAGCAATCGTATCAGTGAAGGAAACGTCCAAAATTTCCCAAAAGGACGTGCGCCATTACAAGGAAAACCGTATCTTTAGAATACAAGAATACACTAAGRTTKAAGAGTTGGCCAACGTAGCTTTCATGAACTCACAAAGCAAACTTCTCATTCAAAAATAAATTAATCAAAATCAAATATTCTTACCTTCTTTTTTAGAAAAGTTTTCTCCAAGCTCCAATTAAGAAATCTAAGCTACAATCAAGAAATATAAGTAAAATTCTAGCATCTACAGGATGGAATGTTGGCACTGGRCTAGCTAACGTGTTGCCATTGAAGATGATTTATGAGCTTCAACGCTCTTTGTAGAGCTGTAGTAGGTTAAACCGCCCCTTTGATCATTCCAACCACCAATAGCATTCCACAAACAGTTGGAAGTCGGTTACTTTAAGGGCATTGTAAATTAGCTGTAATTCTTTGTTAACAGATTGTTTGTACAATGAACATTCTAAAATATAGTCAGATATATGCTTTTAATGCTCTTCGAAKCCYCAGGCGAAAGGATTCTTCAATGGGGATSAAGGAACGCTTTAGCGCTCTTTCTTGRTTATAGCTYCAAAATGTCGCTTGTGATTATGATGGGAAASYTATGACATTTTTACAGKGAMGTCGGTTAATCTAAGTGCATCTTAAATGAACCATAATTTTGTTAAAATATTGTCTTATAACCGACTAACCCTATGAAAGCACCGCTCTATTTATCAATAGAGAAAAGCGGATAATAAATTTCATTCGCTGTGAATAGYTTTTTGATCCATTAATTTGTCATTTATATCTGATCTCAGTACACAAACTGCACACTTTAAAGGTCAGAATATCAAGATTGATGATTTGAAGACAATAAACTTAGTGAAACAAATGGCTAATTATGTGATTTTACTGAGTACACCGCCAAATTAGTAAKCAAGACAATGGTTTTCAGTTTGTCCACTGTACCGGAAAGAGGGTTGGGGTGGCAGCGTACCGCTGTTGTCATACAACTTGTAGGCAATATAGTGTTCTACAAATATATCTCAAATTATATTAACTAGAACTAAAAACTCCAGTTATGAATAGGCATAAAGACAAAAGTGACAGCTTAGGTGATTTTGTCTATCATCTATTTGCGCTTTGGTAACTTGTATACCAGTTTTTTGAATGAGTTTATGAGGTGTCTTTAATTATCAACCAGTTATGAAATGAGARCCCAACTGGGACCACCCGAACGAAAATTAGCAATCGTTCACTCATTGTCCATTGACTTTCAACAAAATTGGAATCCATTCTTCTAATAATCTCTTTGAGATCATGAACATTGGAAATCAGTTGTATTCAACTTTGTCACAATTGTCTTTTGAAGCAGTAGACAGAACTACGACCTATGTTAAATGTCTTTGAGATCGACTATAAACTTCATGATAGTCAAAGCTTCACAGGTTATTTACATGAAGAGAGTCAGGTACAAGAATATATATACTGTACTTCTATGGAAAGAGGCTGTCTTTCAATTATTATGTCTGAAAACTACACCTATTTAATTTCTTTTGACAATCGGATGCAATACAGTGGCTGTCTACTGATGTGGTTGATTCCCATGCAACACATATCTGTCTGTTGTAGAAGTCACCTTCAAGGTGCTTGTTAGGAATGCATGACAGAAACTAAGAATATCACACTACCAACAATGATTCACGTATCAGTCTTGCCCGGTGGAGGGMAATACTGTAAGTACACGTCATCCCAAATAAAATCGAGGCTGGAATGGAATATTATGATGGAATTTAAATGGGAAATATTTTAATGAGGAAAATGACTCTCTTGTTTCATGGTCTTTACAGCCCCCTATTTTTTGGGATTTCCCTTTAAAAAATGTTACTGTATTCATTAATGCCGGGGGAGTTTAATAATAATTCTCATTTTGAKTTTGAAACTCCACAATGATCATGCAAGTAAGAGTTTTCTTACAGATTTGTTCATGCAGATAATTTCATGTATAGTT